AATATAATTACTTTACATTAAATTAAATTAAATAAAAGTCGACTTGAGAGACAGCTGTGTGCTGGCAGTTACCTTGCATCAGATATACTACGTGACCTTGTGACTGTTCCTGGTTAGAACCCGAAGAGTGGTGGACTCCACTATAAAGAATAAAATTAAAGAAGATCTGGTTAAATCCCGAAGAGTGGTTAAATCCCACTAATACAATTATCTACACGAAGTAACTTACCTTAGTGATGCACCGTAACATCGGTTAAGAGGATATTCAGTACATATGTTCCGCAATAATGGTAGAGATTCAATAACAATGTTTTGATCGACAAATGATGCTTTTTCATGAAGCTTTCTTTGACAAATTCCATTTCAGTCCTTAAATTTTTATAGCCATCCAGAAGAAAATTGTAATTTACCTTCAGGAATTCCAAGTTCATTCACTAATAATTTGGCTTTTTCAATTATAATGGAATCGCTTAGAATGATTCGATGCTGATAAATTAATACAAATTTCTTAATTGCTAGCTCAAGTTCTGGAATAGTAACGGATTTATAATGCTTGGCTTCCAGACTTATAACTTTATTAGAAAATCATTTTTCTTTGGTTTGAAAGATTTGAGTAATTGTAGATTCATTAACTTTAACCCTCCATCTGTCTTCAATCCATTTTATATATTCAGGTCAGGTTCTTTTATTGTTATACGCATAGATACATAGCTCATATTTTTGAGCATCCGTTAATGTAATTTTTTTTGATATCACCAGATGAAAGAAAAATTGTTACCTATTTTCTAAAATAATTAATTCTTTATTCTAAACTAAAGATGGCCACAAATGACTCCTTACCCACAAAAAATTTCTTCTCATGTGCTAGGATTAGGTTATGACACCAGAAAGTTAAGTATTATCAGAATGGGAAAGGAAAAATCTTGCCAAGAAAATTTGATTCTTTGATTCATTGATTTTTCCATGTAATACATGATCTTGAAATTTTATTGACCAACAACACTTAAAATCATATGATAGTGCATTTACAGAGATATTTTAAATTATATTTATTTAAAAATTTATTGCATATGCAGAATATAGAGTGTGTGCATTTAGCACTATAATACAAGCTTGGGACCAGATTTAAGGATTTATTTATAAAGGGTGTGCACTTATAGAACGTGCATTTAAAGAGATTTGACTATACAATGATAATCATTTCAAACTGTTTAGAAGACTAGAATATTTACAATTATTAGAATATAAATCTATATGCTATAAGAAATATCATGCTTTAATAAATTACAAAGTAAGTATTATTTTAAATAAAAATTATCAAAGATTTTGATATGAGTAATATTTTAAGTAAAAAAAGTAAATTATTAAAATATATATAGGATTGTGCTTTGATGAAACATCAAGTATTATTTTGAGTAAAAAAAGTGGATCACCAAGATATAATTATTACAGATTCAAAACAAAAATATATTTATCAAAAAAAAATACTATAGTAAAATAAAACAAAATACATATAACTCTATAATATATTATTTTAATAACAATTAATACAAGTTTCATATTCTTTTATTTTATTATAAAACAAATCTCTTTGAAACTCTGAAGCAAATCTATAGTGCCCATTTGCATCATCTAGTTACATATACAGTTTGTAAAGTGTATGAGTAACATTTCTGGATTTGAAAAGTGCTTCTTTCATCTTTATAAAAGTTTAATTATTAGTTTAGAATTTGCAATTGAAAGAATAAAAAAGCACTTGTTGTTTTATTATGAAAATAAGAATTAAAAGGGAAGAATGGCTTCATTAAATAATATATCATATACAAAATAATACAATTCTATATACTTTACGAACCAATCAAGTTATGTAGAATTCGAAAATTATTGGTATTGGGCATTTTAAATTATATCTTCACCCCATCGTTCGTAAAAGCACTTTATCACGCTTATTTTCTTCTAATATTCGGTACAGTAATGTCGATCGATAATATAAATAAATAATCAAATAAAAAGTATACAATTTCGCGTTTCTTTATGGTTTTGGCACTTAAAAAAGACAAACTAACCAAGAATTTCTTCGCATTTCTGTTGCTTTATAGTGAGTGTCCTAATAGAGACTTCGGTTGGTGACTTAGTAATAGATCTTCATGTAGATGAATGCCCGCGAACAACACTCAACTTTCTAAAACTATGTAAAATAAAATATTACAATTTCTGTTGTTTTCACAACGTACAAAAGGATTTCATGATACAGACGGGAGACCCGACAGCAACAGGGAAAGGTGGTGAATCAGTATATGGGATTATTCATGGTCCACATAAACGATATTTTCCCGCGGAAATACACCCGAAACTGAAGCACAAAAATGTCGGCACAGTTTCAATGGCTGTTGCGAGTGATGGGGTTGAAGGTGGTGGTGTTAGTGGGTCTCAGTTCTTTATCACGACCGGCGAGAATCTAGATTATCTTGATGGCAAGTATACCGTGTTCGGAGAAGTGGCTGAAGGATTTGATGTACTTGACACAATAAATAGTGCCTATTGTGATGAAACGGGCAGGCCTTATAAAGACATTCGGATCAAACATACTTCAGTGCTTGATGATCCATTTCCTGATCCTGAAGGATTAGAGATCCCTGACAAATCTCCGTTACCCACTAAAGAAATGCTCGAAACCATACGTATCGCAGAAGATGAAAGCATCGAGCCAGAACTTCCACCCGAAGAGCTGGAGAAAGAGCAACGAAGAAAAGAGGCAGCTGCTCAAGCGTTGACTTTGGAAATGATTGGGGACATTCCATTTGCTGAGGTGAAACCTCCGGAAAATGTGCTCTTTGTATGTAAACTTAACCCGGTGACACAGGACGAGGATTTAGAATTGATCTTTTCACGATTTGGAACTATTAATACTTGTGAAATTATTCGTGATAAGAAAACTGGTGATTCCTTGTGTTATGCTTTTATCGAATTTGACAATCAGGAGGATTGTGAGACGGCTTATTTTAAAATGAACAATGTTTTAATTGATGATCGACGAATTAAAGTGGATTTCTCGCAGTCTGTTGCGAAAATCCATAGTGATTGGCTGCTATCGAGAAATCAAAAAATGGGTGCAGGTGGTGGTTATGGTGGCTCTGAAACTTTAGAACAGCGTACAAAGTATCGTGCTGGCGATACTGCACCCAAAAATCATTACAAAATGGTTTTTGACGAGGATGAAAGGAAGCATCAGTCAAGTAAGAGAGAAGATAGACATCGGGATAGTGATAGGGATAAGGATAGAGATAGGGATAGGGATAGAGATAGGGATAGGGATAGAGATAGGGATAGAGATAGGGATAGAGATAGGGATAGGGACAGGGAGAAGGATAGGGAAAGGGATATAGACAGGAATAGGGGAAGAGATCGGGATACTAGAAGAGAAAATAACAATGATAGAGATAGTTGGAGAACAAGACAAAGGTCTCAAGAGTATTCAGATAAAGGATCATCATATCCTCGGAGACGATCTAGTTCATTGAGTCCTCGTCGGAAACCTGATAAAAGTAATTATGATCGTTCTCGAGATTATGACAGACGTGGATATTCTGATAGATATAGGTCGAGATCTCATTCAAGGGATCGAGGGGGTGAGAGAAGACGCTAACAATAAAAAGACGATATTAATCGGCAAAGATTTGTCATATTATTAGTTTTATTATTTTATTCTTAAATAAACCAAAATGTTCGTTCAAAGACCAATTTGTGTCTTAATAAGAATGCTCTGGATCATTTTATTATTTGCTAGGAGTTTCACATGTAATAATAATAATATTATTATTATTAGAAGAGAGGATCTAATTATGCATACTCTATAACTAAATCTATTGTAATAATAATTTTTCATAAACCAGAACAAATCTGCTGTCATCTCCATTTTTTTCATTGTAATCTATTTTTACGACATTCTTTGAAAAGAAAGGCACAACCGCCAATTCAACAGTCTCTTTAAACAAATCAGCAATTACGTGTGATAGCCGATTACCAGTTTGTTTAAAATCTGGAAACTAAAAATATCAATAACATCAAGAATGGCGTTACTAATAACAGCAAAAAACTCAGGAATAGAAAGAGAAAAAAATCTCACCGAATTAGCTTCCAATAAATAAACCTGTTTATTGACATCAATCAAAAAATCAAATCCAAACAACTCGAACGCGTTATCCATTGGCATAAACTGCGTGATTTCACTCACTATCGCTTCAAAGCATTCGCTAAGAATTTCTTTAATTTGATTAAATATCGCGAGGAGATCATCTTTTGTTATTCCTTGGTTTTCTGTTGTCCCGTTTGTATTTTTATGTTCGTCGTGATCATTGTCAGATAGATCCCAAAATAATTTTACTTGATCGGATTCTATTTGAATATTAAAATATATCATACATTCATATACATGCGCCCTATAAAGAAAATGAAATGATCAAAAAAAAAAAAAGAATTTACCCACAAAAGTCACTTCATTCGATTGTATACAAGTATTTGTGATATGTGAAAAAGTATTTTGTATTTCATGAGGAGTATAAGGTAAAAGTGCAAACAAGGCCAGCATATCTTTACACAAGTAAACTTTGATATTCGAAACTGCGAGAACATAGGCGCGTATATGACATTTTCGATTATTGATCAAGAATGGATTTGATATGTATCGTTGTATAACCCATTCACGAAGGTGAAACATGCTTTCATCTTCCTCTTCCTCCTCATCCTCTTTTTCATGGCCTTCTTCGCCTTGTTCCTCAATATCATGGCTATGTTCATTATTATTATTTTTAACTTCAAATACCGCGCGTAATTGTTCGATACTATCAAATATGAGAACACTCGCAGCCTTATTCCCTAAATTCGGTTTTAGAATAAACAATTGTTTCCCCTCGGAATTTTCAATCTGTTTATTCGCCTCACACTCTGCCACAACTTCAAACACTTCGTCAAGTGCCTCATCAAAATAATCAATGTGAGTCACCTCAAAAACCCATGTTTCTGGGACTGCACGCACTAAACTACAGTTCGGGTGTTTGCTGATGTATTTACTAAGGTTAAAGTTTAGTTGAGCTTTTCGGATAAGACCTTTTCGTATGCAATAGGAATTCGCAAGGGTGATTTCGGGATCGGCGTAAAGTTGTTCAAAGTCAAGGTCTTCGTATTCAAGCCAATAAAGAGTTGGCGAGTCAGTTTTGTTGGTGGTGTGGGAAGAAATGTTGCTGGGTGATATTATGGTTATTTGAATATTAGGAAAATGTGTTTTAAGAGCTTCCAGTATCAGAGTACGAGTGTAAGACTCGTGAATTCCTATAATTGCTTGTAATGAAGATAAATTATTTTCAGTCATGTCTTTTTCGAAGTTCGAAAAATATCTAAAATCGCGTGTTACAATTCTTTAATTCAGATAAACTGTGATTGGATAGAGATTGACGCGAATCAAAGTAGTATATAGAAACTTTCGCGTCTTTAGTCAATTACAAAAATGGAATTTTTTGATATGGATATCCAGCCAACTAAATCCAACAATAACTCGACTGTGACAAATTCATTACGCTCAAACCCGATTTTACATGGTTTTTATTTAATTATTGTTCGTTATCGAATTATTTCATAAATGTACTTACTATATATGCATGTATAAATCTAATTTATACAGTAGAATGTTGCTTGAAGACACAAAGTACAGCCGAATACGAAGAAATCCAAGAAAGTGTCGAGAAATTTCTACGAGAATTCAAGTCTTCAGTATTATGCTACTCGGAAATCACAGACTTTTATGATATCCCGTTGCTCGGTGAACATCTCGAGAATATGAAAGTTGCAGAGGCTGGCGGTAGTAGTGGTGATGTATTTTTGACGAATTTGTTGATTTGAATATTTTCGATTTTTTTAATTCCTGGCTTCAATAATGTAATTTATGTTTACAAATAATTATTATTAGATGATAGTGAAGCAATTTATATTCTTGATGATGTGAACTTGGATATTCACGTGTATCAACTAGAGGAAGATGAAGCAGTCGATGAATTCCAGGAAGAGGAGAATGTGTTGGCTGCGAATCATTGGGAACTACCATCGCGAGCCTTGGAAGGATTATGGGATAAGTAAGTTAAATAATATAATTCAGAAGAATTATACCTTCATGTAACAATTAATTAATAACATAAACATCAATAAAAAATGTAGTCTTATATTTGATAATAACGTAAAAACGCGATTGATTGAGTATGTCACAACCACAATGTTATTTTCTGATCGAGATATCAATCCTAATATTATTTCTTGGAATAGGTAATTTGATTATTAGTCAACTGTTATGTCTATGATTATGATTATCCAAGAGAGCAATGAAACTAATATATTGAATTATTTGTTGATCTAATTTTATGTAGGGTTGTTCTGTTACATGGACCCCCAGGAACAGGAAAAACCAGTCTCTGTCGTGCTTTTGCGCAAAAGTTGGCAATTCGGTTGGTTGAAAGGTAATCAATAACTAATAAAAATGGAGAGTTAATTTAGTTAAAGTTTTATTTTCCATTTCATATAAAAATTTGATTGAAAGATACAATCACGGAGGAAAACTCCTCGAGATAAACAGCCACAGCCTATTCTCAAAATGGTTTTCAGAATCCGGAAAACTGGTGCAAAAGCTTTTTCAGCAGATCCATGATATAATCGACGAAGAGGATTGTTTTGTGTGTGTGCTGATAGGTTCGTGTGGTATAATATTATTATTTTATACTACAGTCAAACGTCTCTATAGTCACCGCTCTTGGGAAAGCAAAATTGGGTGATTATAGAGGGGTATGACTAGAGTTTTTTTTTACTATGTTTATATATAAATGGAAGGCAAAATAGGGTGACTATAGAGGGATGTGACTATAAACGGGTGTGACTATAAGGTGTTTGACTGTATATTCATCCTAATTCATTGATCAAACAAATATTTTTCTATAGATGAAATAGAAAGCCTGACCGCGTCACGGAAATCTTCGTTGTCCGGGGCAGATCCATCTGATGCTGTTAGGGTGAGATAAAATCATTATCTTTACTGATTCTAATTTACAATATGTATATATTTATATCGTATATATTTTATAGGTAGTGAACGCGTTATTAACACAAATAGATAAACTGAGACACAAGAAAAATGTCTTGATATTAGCGACATCAAATATCACTGAGGCGATAGGTGTGTATACTGAAATTTTATTTCTTAACAAGAAACGTTCATTTTTTGATTGAATTCAATTTGAATTTAGATGTCGCGTTTATTGACCGTGCAGACATAAAGCAGTACATCGGCCTACCATCACAAAAAGTCATATACACTATTCTCTCAAGCTGTATACAAGAGTTGATCCGTGTTGGGATTATTAGTACAGAGGTAATTTCTTTGTCCAATAATAAAAATCCAATTGCACGCACTTAAAAGTATTAATCGAAAAATAACAACAAAAAATAAAGGAAACACTACTCGATTGGCGAGCCGCAGAACTATACCACGACGCAACGAGTAACAATCATGAAGTGATTCCAAGCATGAAATTATTTGAAATATCGAAAAAGTGTCAGGTGGATGTAATTCAATTGAATTAAAATTAAAATTAAATTAACCGACAAACTTAAATATTATTTATTTTGATTTATTGTATTATATATATTATTCAATTTAAATATTTAGGGAATGAGTGGACGCGTTCTACGGAAACTCCCGTTTCTGGCACACGCGCATTTCCTACAATCACGGAAGACTACCAAACTCTCGGATTTCCTTGACGCGTTGGACAAGACAGCTACCGAAGAATCGTCATCCTCATTTCGAACATAACATACACTACTAGTGCTATTATTGCTCGCTTAATAACGATGATGACATATATCGATATATTATATAATATTAGACCCCACCTCCTCCCCCAGGTAAGCTATTTGAAACATGTAATTCCCCTCTAGAATATTATGTAATATATGTCATAGTCCTAATAATGATATAAAATATTTATAATATGTTGGGAACAAAATTATTATTGTGACAAAATTCCCATTCTTGATTCATTTGAATCTAGTCAAAATTTTCATTTTTCTTTTTGAAAATGATGACTAGAGCTAATCAAGAACTTTCAAATAGTGAGATGATACCTTTTTTTAATATTTTATCAATTTCTTTTTCCAAGAAATCATTTTCCAGTAATAATTTCTGATAATAATATTTTAATATAATTGGATAATTATTTTCTAAATGAATTTTATATTGAATAATATTTGTTTAGTTAAACAAAATTAAATCATGATAATCATCAAGTACTTTTAATATTTGTATTTGTTGTTCTGATATGAGATTACATTTAGTAATATTGTTGTGATTCGATATTTTACAAAAATGATTATCATAAATAATTATTATAAATGATCATTCCAGATAATCACTTTGAATAATCACTTCAAGTGATTATTTTAAGTGATCACTTCAAGCAAACATTCCAAATAATCACTTTAAATGATTATTATTTCAAATAATCATTCTGAATGATTACTCCAAGTTATCATTCCAAATGATTACTTCTTATTTATCAAATATTTATAAATATTTTAACTAGAAAACTAAGTTCTTTAGATAAATTAATAGTTTTATTTCTATTCCTTTTAATAATCCTTTAGATAAATTTTAATATAATCTCTTATCTTAATTGCAAAATTATTATTATTGTATTTGTCTTATAATTTCTCATTTTAATTACAAAATTATAATTCTTGTATTTAATCTCTCATTATTATCACGAAGTTATTATTATATTGTTACCGTTTTGAGCTTTTGCGTATGAAAGTATTTCAAAATGGCAATAGTGACTGTGTTCACGGCAATTT